AAATCATTAATGTTGAGTCCTAAAGACTCTTTGTAGCACCCATAAAAGAGATCTTGTGGTTTTAAAAAGCTCTAAAACTTGCTCTCCGAGAAATTCAATCTGTAGGCCTGTGTTTAAACACACAGGTTATTATTATATAACTAAGCTGGGAAGATTAATCGTGATTAATAATAAAAAGGAAAACACACAGAACACCAAGGCAGGACTTGTTTAATGAGAGAAGGGTAACTCAAAGGAAAACAGTATTTGTACCAGGTAATAAAAAGTCAACCCACAGACTTATCAAATAAGCATAAAAATATTCTATCTCATATCTGATTCAAAAGGTACACTTATCAAAGATACGATTACACTAGAAATAACGCAAACGATAAGCATATACACAAAATATATGTATTATGGACCATTTGTGATTTATTTCCAAATCCCATGCCATTCTTCAAATCCAAACACCTTAATATGTCTATGATTTACCTTTCCAGCCTTACTTTTCTTTCCTCACACCCTGCTTTCCAACTGTACCTGATAATAGTTGCTTGAACACCACATACACTGTCTACTCACATTTTTTTTTTTTTTTTTTGGCTGCATCGGGTCTTCGCTGATGCTCACGGGCTTTCGGTAGTTGCGACAAATGGGGGCTACTCTTCGTTGCGGTGCATGTGCTTCTCATTGCATTGGCTTCTCTTTGTTGCAGAGCATGGGCTCTAGGGGCACAGGCTTCAGTAGTTGTGGCACGCAGGCTCAGTAGTTGTAGTACACTGGCTTAGTTGCTCCATGGCATGTGGGATCTTCTCGGACGAGGGCTCAAACCCTTGTCCCCTGCATTGGCAGGCGGATTCTTAACCACTGTGCCACCAGGGAAGCCCTGCCCACCACATCTTTGACATGAACTTCCAGTTTGTCCTGTACATATCAGCCCCAACCCATTTCCTCGGATCCCACTACCCCACCTTATACTCTGGTATGTTCATTCAGACCATAAAGATTTATGGAGTAGCATCAGGATCTATGATAGGTTCTGGGGACACAAAGATGAACAGAACATTGTCTTGCACGCAAAAGAACTTTGGCTGAGTGAGGGGCAGATGTGTAAATGTAAACAATAGTTAAAATACAGTTGGCTTGCAGGGAGAAAGCATGGCTATGCTTAGTGAAACCAGCCTCCGGTTGGTGATCACTTATTAATACATCATCATCCACAAATTCTCCTAAACCACTGCTTGCAAACTCGAGCGCTTACAGAGTAAGCAGGTAACACGAATTTATGTATCAGGTTGGGTGTGAGATAGTAGCCAAATGGAGAGTACCTGTCCTGTCTAAAGGCATTCAATTTCTCACTCTTTTTCAAATGCCATGCCCGGATAACAGAATACGCCTGAAGACCTGATTTGGTTCAGGCTGCCGGTTTGTTTCTGTATACTAAGATTAACAACGTCGTTTAATGTTTACTACGTGTAGGTCCCTCTGCTAGGCACTTTGCAAGTATTAACTTACTCCTCACAGCAACTGTGTAGGTTGATATTATGATTTTGCCCATTTTACAAAGGCACAACTTAGGCACAGGAGGGTTCTCATAACTTGCTGAGGTCACACATCTATTAGGGTGGTGGAACTGGGAACTGAACCCAGTCAGGCTCCTTCACAGCCCACACTCTTAAAAGAAGCACTTCATAGCACTATACTGCTCTGTATCTAAACTTTCAAAATTCCTTTATTCAGCTTAAACTACATAATGAATTACATATTTTAAAATGTGCCAAACATTATTCCTTTTTTTTGTTGATCAAACTTTTTAAATTGGTATAAACAGACATGATGTAAAAATTTGACCATCTATCTGTTCACCTCTCCATAAATTTCATTACATTCCTTGATTACCACCATCTTTCTCATTTGAAGATCTTAATTCTTTAGAAAGAACTTTGCAGTTATACTCCAAGAAATACATGTTCATTATAGGAGAAAGCAGGTAGAGTTAAGTGTTATTTAAGGTATTTTCACAATGACTCCCCATCTCCTCTCCGTTCCCTCCAGTCTACCTCCGACATCCTTCCCAATTCTGGGTGTATGTGGATTATTAGTCCTCCAAACAGTAGGACAATGTTTTGTTTTGTTTTCAGTAATTGTCAGCATAATGTTTACAACTCTGTGGATCTTTCTGGACAAGGCAATCAATCAGGCCATGTCTTCAGGGAAGTCCTATTTATATGAGCTAAAACAAATCCAAGGACACCTAGGCATTTGGTGAAACAGGTGAAATATAAACTCCCAAGTCTGTGATCTTAAGTCAAAATGTTTCACTAGACCAAGAGATGTAGCCACTTTTTATTCACAAACTTTCCTAAGAACTCTGGACGTTACATTATATGCTTTTTACTTAGGTAAGTTGAAGCCAAAAAATGAAATATTAGAGAGGCTATTGGTTTGGCCTCCTGGCCTTTGTTCCGACTGCTTCCTCGGCCAGGACCTCCCCACAACATCTGCACCCCCTTCCCAAACCCTGCTTCCTACCTGACCTTCCTGAAACTCCTCACACGCCCCCTCCTCTGAGAAAACTTTGACCTCCAAAGTGGTTACGTGTCCTTCCTATATATACCCAGTGACCAGCACTTAATATCTATTTCAGTTGTTTACTTATTTCTCTAACTTGTAGTTGGAATTTATGTAGTAAATCTTAACCTAATTTGTACCTGAAATTTATGCAGTAACACTTATTTCTGGAAAAATGTTGTGCCCTTGAGCTTTTAAACTTGGCTGTTTATTTTACAATCTCAAGAATAGTAAAAATATATGGGTTGTGGGCTTTGGCATTGAACTAATGTGGGTTTGGCATCCAGCTCTAGTTCTAATGGCTGTGTGACCTTGAACTGAGGCAGTTTTATCCTTTGTAAAATAAAGACCTACTGCTCTGTGAATATTAAAGCTTAGGAGCGCAAGAGCACATCACCTGTCCAAGTTCGTGCTAAGGGTTAACTGCTGTTGTATTTCTCAAGAGTAACTTAATTTCATCAAAAGGAGAGATTTAACGAATAGAAAAAATAATGCCAGCTGATTTGGAACTACTCAAATGCATTTTATGATAAGCAACTTTACCTACATTGAGATTAATACTTAATATTTGTTATCTGTTGCTCTCTACCTATTCAATATCAAAATACATCTTAAATGGTTTGAAAATGTATCTGACTCCTTTAAATGCTCTAAAAAAGAGATCTGAAAAATGAAAAACAATGTTGGCACCATCTACGGGAGTATATTTTATGCCAGGAAATTAATAGTACAGTAAATGTCACCAAATAAGACCCTATCTTAATCTCTAGGAGACTGGAAACGTCAGTTCATCCAACTCTCTAAGCATCAAATTTCAAACGGCTTAGAAAGTATTTTGAAATTATTTACTTAAAGTAAATTGGCTTCTGAGCCAGTAAAAAATCCAGTAATCCAGTTGAGTGTTTAAACCCCTCTTTTTAACCCTTCTTAGATAGGAACTAAGATGCTTAGCGATTGATTGCTGCCAGATTTAACCTGGTAAGAGCCACAGACAATTCTTACTAATAAAGACTATTCCTAATGAATTTTCAACTCTGGACCATTCAGAATCCCAAGAGGAAATGTGTCCCACTTCCCTGGATTTTCCTCTTTTAGATAAGCTTTAAGCTCTCTAAAGCCACAGGATTAAATAAGAGGATATTCTTTCAGCATCAGTATAAACCAAAAGTACACTAACATAAACAACAGCATTGTATGTTCATTCATTTATACATTTATTAATCTCCACTTGCTCTAAATCAGAAGCCATATGAGGTGCTGGGGGAATCCCAAGATGAATAAAACTATGTATTCTTGCCCTCAAGCAGCTCTCCATTTGAATTTTATTTGCAAAAGTGTAATACTTTAAGCCATCATTAATTCACAATTGAAGTAGGCACTAATTCATGGCTGAAACCAAAGGCTTGAGATGGCATAGAGAAATGGTACAACAGAGGTGGGAGTGGGCAGGAAACATGACGACTAAAAAGAAAGGAAAAGGAAACTAGGGCATAATTCTGGTTTTAGGAGTCAGAGACTCATTCAGAGTCCAGATCTGCCAACTACCAGCAATGTAAACAATTTTGTTTTTTGCAATTAGTATGTATGTTATAATTAAAAATGTTTAATTACCAAAAATGTTCCTTGTTTCACAGTTTTGAAGATCAGATGAGAACACTGGAAAGTATACAGCACAGAGCTTTTTAGTGGGAAGCTCAACTAGTATAGTAGTTTTTTAAAATGTAGTATCCCCTTAATGAATGTTCAATACAATTTTGTTAATTTAATTTACATTAATACACATTTGTGTGTGTGTGTGTGATACGCGGGCCTCTCACTGCTGTGGCCTCTCCCGTTGCAGAGCACAGGCTCCGGACACGCAGGCTCAGCGGTCATGGCTCACAGGCCCAGCCAATTTGTTAATACAGTTTTGTTCATGATGATGATGCTCAGTAATAGAGAGTGAAGAAAAAGGGTAAACAAAAAAGTAAAAGCCTTCAAATCGGCCAGATCTAAAGTCAAATTAGGGTTCAAGCTCTTGAAAGAAGTTATTTTATCATCATGGACAAATTTTCACAGGGTGGTAAAGATTAAACGTTAGAGATATAAGGCCCTCAACACAGCGACTGACACTCCTCAAATATTAACTTCACCCTTCATGATCCCTAAATAAATGCATTTCCCAGCTGTCCTGGACGCCTGGGTTTTGGCTGCTCAGCATGCAAACCTGGTACTTCTTGAGCCCCTTCCCCATTCTTCTCTAAGGGTGAGGACGGGAGGAGACATGCTTCCCCCTGCCCTCTGGTGGCTGAAGCATGGCCTGCAGCCTAAGCACAGCTAAAACCATACTCCCTCCTGGGGCTCAGACTCTGCCTGGATGGCACAGCAGACACTGTCTGGGCTGCTGGTGACAAGGGCGGTGCCTGCAGCAGAATCTGGGCATCACGGCCCCACAGCAACTTCTCATTAATTCTGTGACCTACACACTCATCCAATAAGTGAATTTTCTCCTTATGTAAACAGTTCCTGTTCTTTGTAAACAAGAACCCTAAACTAGTACACTTTTGTAAAACTAATAAAAGTAAATATCAGTGCCACGAAATTATTTTAATATCTTTTTCTCCATGACTGAATATACAGAGATAATGGAAGTAAAGTATTCTTCTGCTGTAAAGATGGGTGGAATATATCAAAATCCACTTGTTGAATTTTCTTTAAATAGTCCTCCAGAGCAACCTGAAAAAAGAGAATAATGGTCACTAGATCACAGAATGATTAAGTCTTTAAAAGAAACAAAAACAAACCCAGCAGGTATTAAGGCTATTTTAGTTTTCCTGAGATGGTCTTCTACATACTAAGAATGTAAATAAAAATTTTAAAAGAGAGAGAGAATAAAGACATCTTCTAAGAAGTTTTCTATGAAGCCAGTAAAACTATGTCACGGATCTAGTACTAGAAACATCAAGCCAATTCTGATCATAATTTAGTGTTCTGGCCAAAATGTGACAGAGAAATTATTTGCCAGGTCTTATTACTAGATTCTGTAGAATACAAAAGGGGTGTTTCATTTGAGGAAAATGAAGCCACCGCCCCCCCACCACCCCACACACACAGAAACACACAGTGCCATGAGGGGGAGCTCAAGTTGTTTCTTTAAAAAATTATTTTGTGAAAAAGTTTAAAGGGTGTCCATGTTCTTGCTGGAAAACAATTTGCAGCGAGGGAGAACAATCACAGGTCCCTATAAACGTCACACCATGCTCCCCCCATCACACAAAACTTGACAAAGCTTTCTCTGGGACCGGGGGCCAGGATAGAAAACACTGACGATGGGCAGTGCTCTTTATGCTTTTCAATCTTATTAATTTGTAAATTTTTATTAAACAGAGAAGCCACCTACTTTTGCACTGCACAATGTGAAGCGGCCCCACCGCCTTCTCAGCCCGCGTGCACAGCTCCTCTTAGAGTTCTGCAGCACAACCTGTGTGACCCACAGAGAGCATATGCTTGTCCAAAGGATTGTGTCCTACCAGACTTCTATACACTAAAAACGGATGAGTGTACATACAAATTCACTCTCTACTTTTGAAATCCTGCACTTATATACATGTACAGCAAGAAACATGTGCATTCATGTGCACAGATGCAAAAAACTTGGAAACAATCCAGAAGTTCTTTGACAAAAAAATAAACGTTCACACAATGAAATATTAAGCTGCCATGAAATAAATGTAGCTAGATGCAATAATATGGATAAATCTTAGAAACACTCGTGTGTGTGTGTGTGTGTGTGTGTGTGTGTAACCCAGAAGACATAAACAGAAAATGATCCATTTTTATATAGCTCAAAAAAAAAAAAAAACCTAAGGGACTTCCCTGGTGGTACAGTGGTTAAGAATCCGCCTGCCAATGCAGGGCACACGGGTTCGATCCCTGATCCGGGAAGATCCCACATGCCACAGGGCAACTAAGCCCATGTGCCACTACTGAGCCTGTGCTCTTGAGCCCACAAGCCACAACTACTGAGCCCACATGCCACAACTACTGAAGCTCGCATGCCTACAGCCCGTGCTCCACAACAGAGAAGCCACCGCAATGAGAAGCCCACGCACCACAACAGAGTAGCCCCCGCTCTACGCAACTAGGGAAAGCCCACGCGCAGCAACGAAGACCCAATGCAACAAAAAAAAAAAAAAAAAAAAAAATAAATTAAAACAAAAAACCATGATCATACAGAACTATTTATTTCATCTTTGGTTACTGTAATTTTTTAAACCAAGAAAAACAACTGTGTTAATAAGATCCACTGAGTTTCTGATTGAGACAAATCAAATAGAATTTTGTAGTGTAGTTAAGATTTGTTGCTTTTGTTATTATGGCTCTATTTAATTATTATGTTGCTTTTATTATTATAGCTGTATTATTTTGGCTCTTTTAAAAAAAAAAAAAAAAAAAAAAAAAAAAAGGCAACATTTTGGTTAGGAATACATAAAATAGGGCAAAGCTTTTCTAGAATAAAAGCAAGATAATAATAAATACAAAATTCAGGATAGCTACTTGGAGGAGGAAGGCAGAGGCAAGGGGATGAGACTGGGAAAACACATGAGTGCAATTTAATGGTGACATTCTAGTTCCTGGATTCAGTGGTGAGTTCATGGGTGTTCATTATGTTATGCTTTATAATACATGCATACATATATATTCATTTGTAGATATCAAATAAAAAACACGTTAAGAGAAAAAACTTTGAAGATATTTCAGTGTACTTTCACATGTTCCCTTTTATTTTTGGAAAAAAGAGCTCATGTTATTCATAATGTTCTGTAACCTGCTTTTTTTTTTAATTAATTCATATACTGTTATTAACATTCTATCTCTAAGAACTTTATCATGTTCATTTTAATAGTTTTATAATATCCAATTATAAAGAATAGTTAATGAAATTAAGATACAAGCACATGAGAGAGTATTATACAGCCATCAAATATTATATTAATATTTCTAATGGTGTGGTTAAATGTTTGATAACTAGGACACTGCCATATAAATTGTGACTTTAAATATATACAGAAATCCATTTAAAAGAAAGAACAGTGTAAATAGCATTTACCTCTGGGTCTGGGAATTGTAGGTGATTGTTATTTTCTTCTAATATTCTTTTTATATTTTCCAAATCTCTATTATGAGAATGTAATGATTTTATAATTAGGAGAAAATTCCATTAAAATACAGATGAAACATGACCTCAAAATTAGAGCTCAACTGGGCATTCACAAATTAGGATTTGGTTCATGGTTAATGGTAAATAAATTGCTCAAAGTAACAAATTCATTGCAAAATTCTCAAAGACGTTACAATTTCTGGGCTTCCCTGGGGCAGTGGTTGAGAATCTGCCTGCCGATGCAGGGAACACGGGTTCGAGCCCTGGTCTGGGAGGATCCCACATGCCGCGGGGTGGCTAGGCCCGTGAGCCACAACTACTGAGCCTGCGTGTCTGGAACCTGTGTTCCGCAACAAGAGAGGCCACGAAAGTGAGAGGCCCGCACACCACGATGAAGAGTGGCCCCCGCTTGCCGCAACTGGAGAAAACCCTCGCACAGAAACTAAGACCCAACACGGCCAAAGATAAATAAATAAACCAATGAACCGACATTAAAAAAAAAGATGTTACAATTTCTGAATATAGCTTCTTAAAACCTCATCTATAGAGCACAATATACTCTACCCTAGTCATTTTCAAACCATTTTTAAACAGCAAAACCTTTTCTTTGAACAAAGTAATTAACAGATGCTCCATATATAAAACAAATGAGAAGAGATGTGCCCCAGCTGGACTGAGGGTGTAGGACAGAAGCAGCTCCTCGGAAATTGCCATGTAGTTCCTCCACTTTCTCCTGGCACAGGACGGAAACAGAGCTGGGCTCCAGCCCCTAGAGTTTCTGATCCATTAGGTCTGCGGTGGATCCCAAGATCTACATTTCTAACAATATCCGAGGCATATATTGCTGGCCTGGGGTCCACACCACTAGCCTAAGATAGTGGTTCTTAGGCCTAGCTGCACTTCATTATTCCTGGGGGAACTTTTAAGAAGTATCAGTGCCTAGATCCAACCTCTTTGAAATGATTTAACTGGTTTGGGGACAGGCCCAATACTGCCTTGTTTTGCTTTAAAAGTTCCCCAAGTGATTCTAATGGACAAGCAGAGTTGAGAACAACCTATTTCACAAAAGTGAACAAAACAGACAAAGTCTTGAACTTTCTTAGAGCTTATAAGTCAAGACAGGTGATGGGGTACTTCCCCAGAGGTCCAGTGCTTGGGACTCCACACTTCCACTGCATGGGGTGTGGATTTGACCCCTGGTTGGGGAACTAGGATCCTGCATGCTGTGTGGTGCAGCCAAAAAAAAAAGAAAAGAAAAAAATAGAAAAAAAAAAAAAGAGAGAGACAAAAGAGATGATAGTACATCACCAAATAACCAAATAAATAACAATTAAAAATGGTGATATAGAACAATGTTTTGACACAGAAAGAGATGCTTGACACCTCATTTATACAAAAAATACATATATAATTACATGAACATAAGAAGTCCAGAAAGATGAACAGACATTATCTCTGGAAAGGATAGAACTGTGAGAGCATTCTAATTTCTTTTGCCTCCTCTTATGTGAACATCCAAAACATTAACATATTACTTTTATAATAAATGAACCTAGAAAAGAAAGAAAATGATTTCAAACACTCAGATCTGAGACCCCAGGATAGAAGATGTGAAAGGATAGAAATGAATCTTTAAATATATTTTAGGGAAAAATGTAGAAGGTATGTTTGGTACTGTAGAAAATGCATGAATTTTCCATTTTCAAACATCACAAATCTTTGAACCTTGGTTTCTATCTATAAAATGAAGTAAACCACACCTAGGAATAACGTATGCAATGACCTAGCTCAGAACCTGTCCATAGTAGGTGCTACTAACCGGAAGCTATTCTCATTTCTTTATGTATTTTACCACAATGGTTCCTGAACCAGGCTACACATCAGAATCACCTGGGAAATTTTTTTAAATCACAGATCCTCTTAGAAATGCTCCCCTTCCCAACCTCGGGAGTCTTATTTAGTAAGAAGACCCCAGGAATCTGTATTTTTGAAGAAGCCTTCCAGATTATTCTGATGCAGCCAGCTCAGCACTGGTCTGCGAACCACTTTCGGGAACCAGTGCTACAATATGGTCACTAAGGAGAAAAAAAAAAATAGACTATTAAGTCATACTTATATGGCTATAAGTAGCCTAACACTCCTATGAGGTGGTTTCTCCTATGATTCCCATCTTACCTATGAATAAACTGAGGTACATAGTGATTAAGGAACTTGTTCCACAGCTAGTAAGTGGCAAAGCAGATTCAAAATGATGCAGTATGGCTGCAGCCAGTGCTAATGACAATTCCACTCACCTGCCTCTGGGGAACAGAGGCATGACCTTCACCAAAAGCAGAATGTAACTAACAAAACATACCATAGGGAAGAAAACAAAACAAAGACTCCAAACTAAAGAACTGCACTGGGAACCTTATAAAATAGAAAAAAAAAATTATACACATCTGCTTCATTAATTAAACAACCTTCTCTGTTAATCTACTTACTGTCTGAAGGAAAGCAGGAAATGCTTTCACAGGAACACTTTTGTGGAAGGACCTAGCCTAAAAAAGGAAGACAAAAGGAAACTGGTTTGAAATACAAATATTTCTGGAAATAAACACTCTCCCTCTGAAAGTGAACACAAAGCAACACCAGCAGTTTAAATCAGCACTGCTAGGGATGCTCTCGAAAGCAAGAAAATAGTTCTCATCTCCTGCCAGTTGAGATTAATTTGCCAAACCTAAAGGAATCAGGAAAAGGTACTAAATTAAGAATTCTCTTCTTTCTTACATTTGGTTTTGACATTTCCAACTGCCTTATAACTTTGACACCCCCACCTCTGTGGTAAGGGGTAAATGAAGACATACAGGTGACCCTAGAATAACATGGGTTCACTTACACGCAGACTTTTTTCAACAGTAAATACTACAGCACTACATGATCCTTGGTTGGTTGCATCCACCGTGGATACAGAAGACCACCTATAAATTATACGTGGATTTCCAACTGCGTGGAAGGTTGGAGCCCTTAACTTAACCCTGTGATTATTCAAGGGTCAATTGTACTTGCATACAAGTCCCAGCACCTCCCCAGCTTGGATGTCACTCCCTCCTGTCTAGATGAATATAAGATCCTTCTAGCTGATCTTCCTGCCTCTGTGTTCCCCAACCTTTAATTCATGCCCCAGAACCAGCCAAATTCATGTCCTAAAGTCACTGTTTTACTTTTTCTTTCTTTAACTTAACTCCCTGATAGATCATGTCCCAAATATTCATCTTGGAATTCAAAGGCCTACACATCTTGAATCTAACCTCATCTATCCAACCTAACACCCTACTACTCTGGACTACAGAGCCCTGATCCACTCAGGCTGATGCCCATCATCCAGCCCTCACCAAGCCCACTTCTGTCTAAAGGTCTTTGCTTAAACTGTCAGATACTGCTTCTTATTCCTGACTCACTTACCCCATCTACTACAATTGCTCTCTTCAAGACCATCCATAATTTACTAATCATCATACCTATCTTTTCTCTCAATCTCTCCAAAAAATGCAAAACTTCAGTATTCCCCATTCTTGGAACTTGCTCCTCCCTAGGTTTCCAAGACACTGACTCCGAGTTCTCCCACTTCTTTCGATCATTCTTTCCTTCTGCTTCTTCCTATTAAATGGCCCTTCCTCCTCCTACCTGAGAAATGGAGGTGGGCTCAAGGTTCGCTCTGCCTTTGGTCTTACTGTTTAAATGTATATTCTCCTTGGACAACAGCATAGCCACACTTAGAGCTTTAAACATAAATCTTCCACCTGAATGACTCCCCAATCTATATTTCCAGTTCTGACCTCCTCTTAAAGTCTCAATCCTACAATCTGCATTTTAGCCCACCTCCCAAAATGCCCTCTAATCCCTTTACATTCAATGATGTCCAGCAGCTACTGATCAGCACCCAGCACAACACTGCTTTTTTATTGTAGTCTCTGACTGGCACCATCACCATCTATATTTGAACTCCATGCAGCCTTCGACTTTCCTGCTTCCTGATTCTGCTACAATCCAATCAGTTATCAAGTCTAGTTGATTCTTCCTCTGTTATATGTGTGTGTGTATGTATGTGTGTGTGTATATATATATATATATATACATACATATACACATTCACATACATACATATACATATAAAACATCTACCCTCTCTAAATCACTCTTTATTTTTCAATGACATTACAGCTTAATTAGTTGGTAAGTTTTAATATTATAGCTTTAATATATTTAAGTTATATTAAATATGGTAATCACTTGTTTGTACTTTCTGGGCTCTAATAACTTACATGTACATTTTAGTTTCAGAAACTATTTTGACTGAGCAACCTAGATAAGTTACATTTGCTCATATTTTGGAAGCATTTAGAGTAAAGCTACCAAGAAGGTTTAAGAATGCAACCAATCAGACACTTCTTTAAATGTGGCAGTAAGGAGATTATATACTAGAGATTATTCTTAGAGTAAGCAGGATGAAAGCCAAATTATAGTATGGTGAATGGTGCCATGGTGGTGAGGGCCTTGAGGTAAAATGAATGTAGAATACTTATGCAAAAAAGGTTAATTGGGAGGGGAAAATAAGAAACAGAAGGGTCCAGTGGGCTGCCTGTAACTTCAGAAGGCAGTAGCAACAAACTAGAAGATAAAAGGGGCAAGTTATCAGAAAGGCCAACTGAAAATACCAGCTGGGAACCGCTGACGATGCAAGGTCCTGGAAGAGCAGAAGAGGCATCAGCCTTGACAAGGCAGAAAGACACACTGTCCCCTGAGAGAGAAATAGTGAGTGGACGGATCAGAGAGGAGCCTAACTGAGGAAGCTGAGAGGGAGAAGGAGATTTTTTAAAAGTAGAAAAAGTTTGTAATAATCCCTGAGATAAATCTATTGGGACTTCAGTGAGCGATAGATATGGACTGCCAAAGGGAGAACACTACAACCATGCTCTAGAAGTAGCCACAGCTAGAAATGATAGTTTCCTAAGTGATTTGGCAAAAAGAGGCTACTTACGTGCTTTAGGTGCAAGTGTGCCTGGCTGGCCATGTCATATACCACATCTCTCACATTTTTATCTTGGCTCTTCCGTAGAAAATCCTCTTGTGAAACACCATGCTGTGTGGGGAAAGGTACATTACATCAGGATTCAAAAAGCACAATTAAAACTAGCTCAAGAAAACTGGTGATAGAACAGTATATACAGTATAATGCCTATTCTGTATTCTTGGTTTTTGGTTTTTTTGGCCATGCCATGCAGCTTGCATGATGTCAGTTTTCTTTTTCTTTTTTTTAATATTTATTTATTTATTTGTTTGTTTCTTTGTTTGGCTGCACCGGGTCTTAGTTGCAGCACACGTGGCATGCAGGCTCTTTCATTGCAGTGTGCGGGCTTCTCTCTAGTTGCACTGCGCAGGCTCAGCAGTTGCAGCGCGAGAGCTTTCTAGTTGCGGTACAGGGGCTCCAGAGCGCACTGGCTCAGTAGGTATAGCGCTCAAGCTCTAGAGCATGCAGGCTTAGTTACCCTGTGGCATATGGGATCTTAGTTCTCCAACGAGGGATCGAACCCGCATCCCCTGCTTTGGAAGGCGGATTCTTAACCACTGGACCACGAGGGAAGTCCCCTATTTTGTTTTTTAAAATATATCTATATGTATGTGAGTGCGTATATAGACACACTCACAGACACTCTCTCTCCTGGAAGAATATACAACAAGATGCTAACTAATGACAGTTGTAGGTGAAACAAAATAAAGCAAGAAACAAACAGATAAGAAGTTTAATAGAACAGACAATAATGAACCTCTTCCAGAAAACAAAAGTTCTCATAAACAGTATTCTTTTTTAATGGATTATTTCCTCCTTTAAAATAAAATAAAGAACAGGCTAAGGTGACCACTAGGAATAATTACTGTAATTGCTTGAAAGGGAGTAAGGCATCAACATGTAAGTACACCAAGTGAGGTTCTCTGAACCTTCTTACTCATAGCTCCACCACAGACCTAAAATGCCTGACTGATAAAATTCTAACTTGATAACTCTGGAGCAAAAAAGCAATAAGCAGGGCTTCCCTGGTGGCGCAGTGGTTGAGAGTCTGCCTGCCGATGCAGGGGACACGGGTTCGTGCCCCGGTCCGGGAAGATCCCACATGCCGCAGAGCGGCTGGGCCCGTGAGCCATGGCCGCTGAGCCTGCGCGTCCGGAGCCTGTGCTCCACAACGGGAGAGGCCACAACAGTGAGAGGCCCACGTACAGCAAAAAAAAAAAAAAAAAAAAAAAGCAACAAGCATGTGTTTCAAAACGGTCACTTGAATAGACTAAGCAGAGAACCAAGACAGGACGTCCCTCCCCATATTCTTGAGGTAAATAATTAAAGGGTACAAACAACAGCCTTACCAGCATACAAATATCCATGGGAAGGAATACTCTTCTTCTACTACCATGATACGGCGTTGCTCTCAAGCAAGTTACAATGCCTTGTGCTTTTCCAATGTGACTTGCAGCATGATCTGCATGAAGATCCTTTATACCTATGATTTTAGAAATCAACTGGGCTGCTCTTTTCTCTTTAAATGCATAACAAGTCAACAGAAGCAGCATAGAGAAATGACCTAAACATGTAAAAGGTGTTTCTCCCATGTTTTATATCTGAAAAACAGGATTTATGAGAGCAAAACTGGGCACAAAGACAAGCTGACCATTTACCATAAACAGGTTTCTGAACTTCAACTTTTAAATAAAAGAGTTTTCCTCAGAGTACAGCACACCAAGAGCACATTTGGAATTTTAATTAGCTATCGTGGAAAAACACTGAAAGTCTTGCATTTCTTCTCCTCAGTGCAATTTCCATATGACCTCATTTTAAGTATATGCTTAACAAACATTCTGCTCTTTGCTCCCTCCTTTCACTGTGTTGGCAAACATGTCACTGAATGTGCAGGCAGAACAGGCCCGGGAAATTTGGTAGGGACTTGGGTTATTCTTTTAGGGTGACATTACCTTCTTCAAATTGATGATATTGTCCTTGTCCCAAATAATTTCCTCATTACAATAAGACCTCACCAACTTAGAACAAAATCAAAGTAGGAAAAATACCATCTAAATGGCATAGTTTTTTTTTTTAAGACAAGTCTCATAAAAACTTTTAGATATACAGTTTTATTTCTTCTACCTTTTGTTTTTAAACATGGGGAAGTATTATTGACAGAGAAGGAAGGAGTCAGGCCACAGGCCTTCCAAATTGTAGGAGATGCATAAAAAAATAGAATCATCTGCAATTACCAGATTATTAATTACAGCATTCTCATGAGGTAGCTAAAGTCCTTTTATGAGAGCCTGGGTAGTGTGATTAGTCTACATTCCATTCCAAAGAAAGGTATATATTATATTCCCCTTCTTACTCAAAAAAAAAAAAGCTATTCCTTTCTAGTTGGTGCAAAGAAAAACTTCAGTGTTAAACTGGTTAGACTGTCAAATTATGAAAGAGTGAAGTCTAAAAGGTGTTTTCTTAACAGTATGCAGGTTCCTTAAAAAAACAAAAATAGAGTTACCACATGATCCAGCAATCCCACTCCTGGGCATATACAGCTGGAAAAGATGAAAACTAATTCGAAAAGATACATGTACTCCAACGTTCATAGCAGTGTTATTTACAATAGCCAAGACATGGAAGCAACCTAAGTGTCCATCAACAGAAGAGTCAGTAAAGAAGATGTGGGGCGTGCGTGTGTGTGTGTGTGTGTGTGTACACACACACACACACACACACAATGAATATGACTCAGCCATAAAAAAGAATGAAATAATTACCATCTGCAGATTATCATACTGAGTGAAGTAGATCGGATAAAGACAAATATTATATAATATCACTTATATGTAGAATCTAAAAAATAATACAAATGAACTTATTTACAAAACAGAAACAGACTCACAGACTTAGAAAACAAACTTATGGTTACCAAAGAGGAAAGAAGGGGAGGGGGATAAATTAGGAGTATGGGGTTAACAGATAACACACCACTACACATAAAATAGATAAACAACAAGGATTTACTGTGTAGCACAGGGAACTATATTATCTTCTAATAACTATAATGGAAAAGAATCTGAAATACATATATATATACGTATAACTGAATCACTTTCCTGTACACCTGAAATTAATCACTTTCCTGTACACCTGAAATTAACACAATATTGTAAACCAACTACACTTCAATTTTAAGAAAAAAAGGTGTTTTTTTTAAAAAACAGAAGTATAAAATTAAAAAAAAACTTACCCAATATTTCTAGTGTTAGATAAAGAAGAGAGCTCTGTGTGTTTTCGGCATAATTTTCCAGTTCCTGGATGTTACGATATGCTTTGTCATCCAAATTTTTTTCCTACAAACAAAATGCTTTATTTGCTTGACGAATTGTCAATATTTTATTTTTAAAAGGCACAATTTTTTTGCCCTAAAGAACTGAGTAATAAAGAATAAAAACTTTTAGCATAAGTTGTTTATTACACAGTAAAATAAGATTAAAATAAAATTAAAATATTAAAGTCCTACATGTTCAGTACTTACAAATAACCCCTCAAAATAATATCTCAGGAATAACCTCAATGCACAAATCACCACGGACATGGGGTTGGCTTAATTTTTACTTCCTTCTAAAGCCTGAGGTATCATGAGAAACTGACAACTGAGCTCTTACTTAAGTACTTCAGACATTATCTCCTTAATCCTAACAACTCCCTCAAAAGGAATTAATACTTTTTTCATTTCGCAGATGAAGAAACTGAGTTACCAACAAGTTAAGGAATATGCCCAAGGTCGCACAGCAAATTAGTGGTGGGGAAAAGATTCAAACCCACATATTTTGATCATTAAGCCCGTGCTCTTAATAAGGAAAAGGTGCCTAGAAAAAGAAAGGAGATCACAACCAGGCCCTGCACTCCATTCCCCACAAAAGAAACTATGCTCAATAAACTAACAGTTGATTACCAGAACACACTATATTCAAGAAACAGAAAAATGTAAATCTTATAACATCTAGCAACTTTTATAATAATACATTTACAAAGACTTGATGGCCAAGGTAATGTTATTCCTCCACCCCTTCCTCCTTTTTTACAATCAGGAGAAACTGGCACCAGCAATGAATCCCAGGGGAAAAAATATGCTCCAGCTCCATTACATTTAAAAACAAATTGGAACATAATTCATATACCATAAAATTTACCCTTTTGAAGTATACAATTCAGTGGTTGTGGTATATTCACAAAGTTGTACAACTATCACCACTAATTCCAGAAGGTTTTCTCTTCATCACCTCAGCAAGAACCCTGTATCTATTAAGCAGTCACTTCCCAGTTCTCCCTTTCCTTATCTCCTGACAAACCTCTAACCTACTTTGTCTCCATGGATTTGTCTGTTGTGAATATTTTATAAAAATGCAATGATACAATATGTGGCTTTTTGTATCTGGCTTCTTTCAATTAGCATGTTTTCAAGGTTCATCCATGTTGGCACATCTTTTAGTATCTCATTCCTTTTAATTGAAGAAAATATGAATAATATTCCGTTGTATGGATACACACATTTTGTTTATTCATTCAACTATGAGTTGTTCCCACTTTTGGACTATTATGAATGAACATTTGTGAACAAGTTTTGTGTGGATACGTTCTCATTTCTCATATCAACCTAGGAGTGAAATTGCTAGGTCTATGTTAACTCTATGCTTAACTTTCTGAAGAACTGCCAAACAGTTTTTCCAAAGCAGCTGCACCACTCTACATTTCTATCAGCATTGTATGAAGGGTTCCAATTTCTCCACATCCTCACCAACACTCACTATTGTTTATTCTTTTTATTATAGCCATCCTAATTGGTATGAAGTGGTATCTCATTGTGGTTTTGATTTTCATTTCCCTCATGAAAAGATGCTGAGCATCTTTTAAGGTGCTTATTACTCATCTGTATATCTTCCTTGGAGAAATGTTTACTCAAATCCTTTGCCCATGTTTAAGTTGGGTTATTTGTCTTTTTATTGTTGAATTATAAGAGTTCTTTATATATTCTAGATACTAGTCTCTTATCATCTATATAACTGGTAAATATTTTCTCCCATTCTGTGGACTGTCTTTTTGCTTTCTTGAAGTTTTTACTTTTGATTAAGTCCAATTATCTATTGTTTTTTTATTGCTTGTGCTTTTGGTCTCATATCTAAGAAGTCACTGCCCAACAGAAAGTTAAAAGGATTTATGCCTAGGTTTTCTCCTAAGACTTTTACAGCTTTAACTCTTACATTTAGGTCTTTGATCCATTTTGAGTTAGTTTTTGTATATGGTATGAGACAGGAGTTCAAATTCATTCTTTTGCATGTGGATATCCAATTGTCCCAGCATTGCTTGTTGAAAAGGTTATTCTTTCCCCCACTGAATTATCTTCATACCCTTGTCAAAAATCAGCCGACTATCAACATATAGGTTTACTTCTGGACTCTCAATTCTATTCCATGCCAATATATATGATCTATATGATCAGTATATATTGATCTATATGTCTATGGCAGGTCAATACTACACAGTTTGATTACTGTAACTTTGCAGTTAAGTCTCAAAATTGGGAAATGTGAGTCCTCCAACTTTGTTCTTCTTTTTCAAGATTCTTTTGATGATTCTGGGTCCCTTGCATTTTCATATGAATTTTAGGATCAGCTTGTCAATTTCTCCAAAAAAGGCAGCTGGAATTTTTATAAGGATTATACTGAATCTTTAGATCAATGCAGGGAGATTGATCCCAGTCCTTTACTTTTAAATATCCCTCCATACAAAAGCCAAATGTTATTTTCCATTAAACAATGGAAAAACTGCTATTTTTTCATTAAGAAAAAAAGAGAGATTTTCCATTATCTCTGTCTTGAGTTCTCAAATTTTCTGTACCTCATGAAAACTGAAGACACCTGAAAAATACATTTTCTTAGTACTAATTAATTCTATAGGCCAACTGAGCAATTTTTTAAATGTTAAAGTCATCATTTCATTTTTGTTTATATTATTACTACTATAGCCTATGGTTATTAATAGATTGTATCCAAATAAACTAAGTAAACTTACATTTTCAGGACAACAGTATGTGATAAATATCAGGCCAACAAGGACACTTAGCCAACAATGTGTCAGAAACATTACACAAATCAGCCCAGGTCATCAAGCAATTTGCATGCTTGGTTAGAACTAGAACTTAGTTCTAAGAACTCAGTATAAGATTCCATTTGCTAGAACTGTTGAACTTTCCTTATTCCCTCTATTTGGACAGAGATCCAAGCACTGGGTATGCATAATGATATGTGTACAACTACTCAAGTTTTGATGACATTAAGGAATTATCCATACTTTTTAAAGGTCTGGTAATCATATTATAGTTATGTTTTATACAAGTTTTTTTCTCTTTTTAAAAATTTTTATACTGGAGTATAGTTGATTTACAATGTTGTGTTTAGTTTCAGGCATACAGCAAAGTGATTCAGTTATACATATACATACATCTATTTTCAGACACTTTTCCCATTTTAGGTTATTACAGAATATTGAGTAGAGTTTCCTGTGCTATACAGTAGGTTCTTGTTGATTATCTGTTTTATACAAGTTTTTATCTTTTCAAGATACATGTGTATGTAACATGTCTGGGGTTTACTTTAAAATAATCTAATAGGGTTTAGGGAGGGAAGTTGGTAGAATATAGATGAAATAACATTGGACATGCATTTATAACTATTAAAGCTGGGTGACAGACACACGGAAGTATATTACACTATTCTCTCTACTTTTATATAAGCCTGAAATTTTCTGTTTTAAAAACTTTGTTTTAAAAAAACAAACTAGTAGAGTGTGGTGTGCACACGCATGCCTCTGCCTGGGTGCCTGTCTTTGCTTGTCTGTCTCTAGGTACGAGGGTGGGCAGCTGAGGTGGGTGGCATGCAGTGATGGAGAACAGATAAAATGGTACAGTTCTCTAAAAGTTTCCTTTCTCCAAATATTAATACACATACTAAAACATTTCCTCCCTGAAGATTAGCTTAAGGATTAAAAAGGAAGAAAAAGACTTAAGCAATTTCAACTTACTCTTTCATCAATGATTTTCATAAGCCATCTTTTAGTCAGATTATGTCTTTTGACAGCCTAAAAAAAACAAGAGTTGTAAGTTTTAGAAAGTACTGGAAATGACTTCTGTAGACCTGAATAACATAAACAAACCAAATACAAAAATAGGTAAGGGGGCTTCCCTGGTGGCGCAGTGGTTGAGAGTCCGCCTGCTGGTGCAGGGGACACGGGTTCGTGCCCTGGTCCGGGAAGATCCCACATACCGCGGAGTGGCTAGGCCCGTGAGCCATGGCCACTGGGCCTGCGCGTCCGGAGCCTGTGCTCCGCAACGGGAGAGGCCACAACAGTGAGAGGCCTGCGTACCGCAAAAAAAAAAAAAAACTAGGTAAGGGAGTATTTGTAATAAGGCATCACCAGATAGATAGCTATGTTAAAGAACTAGGGAAAAAAGAGAATGTCCCTAGAAAACATTTCAAAACATTTCCAAGTAAGGATAATATATCCAAAACTTCTCCACTAATTTGTCTTTTTTTTCTTATGTTATTGGTAATTTAGTGATTCCACTTTCAAAACAACAACAAAACAAGAATTAAGCAGAGCGGAGCTTCTCTGCTATGTGATATGCCCCAACTTCTATGCTTACTTATTACACACAAACTTTTTTCCATAAAAAGGAAGACTCTATTTAATGAAAATAAACACTTTCCAAAAAGAAAACAGTAATAAAGCTCCAAAGAAAACAATCTGCAGGGTACAGTGTTATCTTACAAGTTAAGACACTCTAGTAGGAAAGAGAACACCTAGTGCTCAGATCTTGGCCTCTAATACCACTCCCCGCAAAGGAAACAAGAGTCTAGAAAATGGGTGATTCCAGAGCTGGAGCAAGGGAGATTCAAGATGATTCTATTTTATTGCACCAGAAAATAGAAAGTGCTCAAAAAAACAATGGGAGGCATGTCAGGACACAGAAGCCAGTTTGAAGGGACTCCCACTGTCCAAATATGGGACTATTTGAACACCAAAATAATTAAGTATAGTAATAAGTTATAAACTACTGAAAACAACAGGAATTCATGAGTTTATACCAATAATTAATAAACAAATAAATAATATAGGAGAACGAGAGCATTTGCCTATAGTAAAGTGCCAAGTGGTAAATGTGAACAGAGCATCAGAGTTGTGAAATTATCATTCTGCAATCATAATAGTAAAGACTGGATAAGACAAGGACCATCAATGAATGCAGGAAATTTCACAAGAAGTTGATGAGGAACAGCGTATTTGCACTGTCTTAAAGTTGATTAGTTACAAGGGGAACTATAATTTACAGTAGATTACACATTGGGAAAACCAGGTAACATCTTGACTGTTAACGAAAATGAACAATGCCAGTAAAGGACAGATGGACAAAATGTGTCTCCGGATGTGATACCCTGAGAATACATCACCTATGCAGTATTCTGGCCAAGAATGCATAACCTGAATCATTTAATCATGAGAACACATCAGACAAATCCAAAATGAGGAATGCTCTACTACCAAAAAAAAAAAGAAAGAAAGAAAGGGTTACATTCTTCAAAAATATCAATGTCATAGAAAACAAAGAAAAGCTATGGAAATGTTCCAGATTAAAGCTAAAAAGACATAACAAAAAAATACCTGACTGGATCCTACACTGGTGGGGAAAAATACATTAGTGGATATTACTGGGTCAAGTGACAAAATTGGAATATGAGGGCTTCCCTGGTGGCGCAGTGGTTAAGAGACCGCCTGCCGATGCAGGGGACACGGGTTCGTGCCCCAGTCCGGGAAGATCCCACATGCCGCAGAGCGGCTGGGCCCGTGAGCTATGGTTGCTGAGCCTGCGCGTCCGGAGCCTGTGCTCCACAACGGGAGAGGCCACAACAGTGAGAGTCCCGCGTACCGCCAAAAAAAAAAAAAAGAAAAAGAAAAATTGGAATATGAATGGAAAATTAAATGAAAAGTATTATATCAAAGTTAAATTTACTAAAGTCAATAACTATTCTGGTTATATAAGAGAATGTCTCTATTAGGAAATACTAAAGTATTTAGGGACAAAGGGACATGATGTATGTAACTCATACTCAAATGATTTAAAAAACTTATGAGTGTGAAAATATATACAGGGAGAGCATGCTAGCACACACACCGTTGAGTGAGCACGCAAAATGATTAACAAATGGGATAAAATGTTAACAACAGGTAAATCTAGGTAAAGGATACAGAAATGTTCTTATACTATTTTTAATTCTGTAACCTTTCTGAAATTTTGAAGTTTTTTCCAAATAAGTTTTTAAAACATTGTTTTCTTACCAAGTCAACACTAAGTATAATATATTTTCACAATAAATATAGTAGTGAAACAAAGTCTTAGGAATATACCCTATACTTCAACTGAGACTCTAAGATGTCACTGATACTAAAATGTAAAGGCTGACATGATCATCAATACACATTTATGTGACAAAGGGTGGATCTGTGGAGAATGGAGCCCACTTTGCCCTACAGGAACTTAACAGAAGCTAAAAGGGCTACATGGAGTTGGTTTCCAAGTGCTCTCAGCATTATTACAATTACATAGCAGGACTCTCTACAGGCCTCTCTCCCCCGTCCCAGGAATCAGCCTGGGATACCTCAGTCATTAGAGTTCTGCTCTTGTTTTATTTTGCACATGTCTGAGTAGGGCAGGACTTGTTTGATCTTTGTAACCACATCATCAAGCACCATTCCTGGCATAGAAAAGTACTCAATAAATACTTAACCACTGAAAAGTCAGACTCCTATTTACTCAAGACTGACGCTATAACAGCTGCAGTTCCTTGACCACAAAATATAGCTCTTTTGTCTGATTCTGAAGGAAATTGGAGATCAAGATAAAAAATAAATATTTATAAGAAGCTGAAAACCT